GTCTCAAAAAAAAAAAAAAAATATATATATATATATATAATTATTAGCACTATGTTATATATGTTTTAATGTTAATCTGACTGCTTTTAGTAAATTATCTTTCCAAATGCTTTTAAAATTTATTTATTTCTCTCTTTTATTTTTTTTTTGAGACGGAGTTTTGCTCTTGTTACCCAGGCTGGAGTGCAATGGCGCGATCTCGGCTCACCGCAACCTCCGCCTCCTGGGTTCAGGCAATTCTCCTGCCTCAGCCTCCTGAGTAGCTGGGATTACAGGCACGTGCCACCATGCCCAGCTAATTTTTTTTTTTTTTTTTTTTTTTTTTGAGACGGAGTTTCACTCATGTTACCCAGGCTGGAGTGCAATGGCGCAATCTTGGCTCACCGCAACCTCCGCCTCCTGGGTTCAGACAATTCTCCTGCCTCAGCCTCCTAAGTAGCTGAGATTACAGGCACGCGCCACCGCACCCAGCTAATTTTTTGTATTTTTAGTAGAGATGGGGTTTCACCATGTTGACCAGGATGGTCTCGATCTCTTGACCTCGTGATCCACCCGCCTCGGCCTCCCAAAGTGCTGGGATTACAGGCTTGAGCCACCGCGCCAGGCCCTTTTTTTTTTTTTTTTTTGAGATAGTCTTGCCCTGTTGCCCAGGCTGCAGTGCAATGGTGCAATCTCTGCTCACTGCAACCTTCACATTCCGGGTTCAAGTGAATCTCCTGCCTCAGTCTCCTGAGTAGCTGGGATTACAGGTGCATGCCATCACGCTCAGTTAATTTTTTGTATCTTTAGTAGAAATGGCATTTTACCATGTTGGCCAGGCTGATCTTGAACTCCTGACCTCATGATCCGCCTGCCGTGGCATCCCAAAGTGCAGGGATTACAGGTGTGAGCCACCATGCCTGGCCTGGCTGTTATAATCAGTGAAGTTCATAGTAACACATTTAATAATATAACAATTTTTTTTCTGGAGGAAATTAATCCTGATTTACCTTATTCATGAGAAGTGCTTGTACATTGTTTACAATTTTATTAACTTTTTTAAAGAGAAAAAAAATTTTGCTAATTATCTTATTTAGTAGCATTTTACCTAAGTTAAATGAGTAAACCTGTAGTTTTAATATTTTGACAAATACCATGAGATAACATGAAAACATTTTATCAAAATATGATGTATTAGTAAGAATGTACTAAGATTTGGGCGGCATGTGGCTCATGCCTGTAATCCCAGCACTTTGGGAGGTCGAGGTGGGTGGATCACTTCAGCCCAGGAGTTTGACACCAGACTGAACAACATGGAGAAATCCTGTCTTCACCAAAAATACAAAATGAGCCAGGTGTGGTGGCTTGGGCTGTAATCCCAGCTACTCGGGAGGCTGAGGCAGGAGGATCACTTGAACCTGGGAGGCAGAGGTTGCAGTGAGCTGAAATTGTGTCACTGGACTCCAGCCTGAGCAACAGAGCTGGGGGCAGGGGGTGGGGGGAAGTACTAAGATCTTAAAATCTAGTATTTTGATTGTATTCCTAGCCCTTTTGTGTATATCAGATTAAACAAAGTACCTCTATTTATTTTTATTTTTTAAATTCTTATTTTATTTTATATTTTATTTCATTTTTGAGGCAGGGCCTGGCTGTGTTGCCAAGGCAGGAGTGTAGTGGCACCATTATGGCTCACTTCAACCTCGACTTCCTGGGCTCAGGTAATCCTCCGACGTCAGCCTCCAGAGTAGCTGGGACTACAGATGGACGCCACGATACCTGGCTGATTTTTGTATTTTTTGGAGAGATGGGGTTCCATCCAGAAGTCGTCTAAGCCCAGGAGTTCAAGGCTAGTCTCCAATCGCTGGGCTCAAGTGATCCACCTGCTTCAGCCTCCCAAACTGCTTGGATTACATGTGTGTGCCACTGTGCCTGGCCTAAACAAAGTACCTCTAAATACTGCCCAAACTCCACATACACATAAAGTCAATTGCTAATTTTTAGTAAGAATCTTTTTGGTAAAGTTTGTAGAAAGGAGAATGTGAGTAATCTTTCTGAATAGAGGGCAAAGTTTCTTGCAAGTCAGGTGGTTTCCAATGTTTTGCAATCAACAAAACTGAAGGAGACCTAATCCACATGTTTGTCTCTTGAATTTTTATTTTTATGTTTTGAGACAGGATGTTGCTTTGTCGTCCAGGCTGGAAGGCAGTGGTGTTGATCATGGCTCACTGCAGTCTCAACCTCCTGGCCTCAAGCAGTTCTCCCACCTCAGCCTCCCAAGTAGCTAATTAAAAAATTTTTTTTTGTCTTTTACTTTTTGCTGGGACTGAAATAGAGTTCTTACATCAGCAATTAAATTCCAGATAAACTTTTTTTTTTTTTTTTTGAGACAGAGCCTCACTCTGTCGCACAGGCTAGAGTGTAGTGGTGCGATCTTGGCTCACTGCAGCCTCCACCTCCTGGGCTCAAGTGATTCTCCTGCCTCAGGCTCCTGAGTAGCTGGGATTACAGGCATGTGCCACGACGCCCGGCAGAGATGAGGTTTCTCCATGTTGGCCGGCTGGTCTCGAACTCGTGGCCTCAAGTGATCCACCTGCCTCACCTCCCACAGTGCTGGGATTACAGACATGAGCCACCGCCCCTGGTCACATCCCAGATAAACTCTTTAAACAGTCTAACTGTGGCTCAGATCAGCACAGTGGCCTTGAGGGGGCTCTGTGAGTGGGAAAAGGAGAGGCCTGGCTTGCTGATTTCAAGGTAATGCGAGACTCCCTTGAGGAGCAGGGGAGGCAGGTTAGGACAGAGGGGAAGAGGGACTGAGGAATGCGAAAGACCATGGAGCTCTGACAAGCACATCCTGCTAAAGGGATCATTCAGGAAATATTTAAATCGTATTGGATGAATACTCCCTGATGAACACACACACACACACACACACACACACACACACACACACACACACACACATTTCCCCCTTCCTTTCTGAGTAATTCAACCCAAAATACCCCCTACTTCTAGCCCACAGATCATTTTGGAAAGAAGACAAAAATAATTTACTTCATTTTCCTCTGCATTCCATCACTAATTACGAGTTCTTTTTCAAGGCAGCTATCTTGGCTCAAACTTAGGGCTGGGATATTCTTCTTCCTCCTTCTCCTCCTTCTCCTCTTTCTTCTTTTTATTAATACAGTATTTATTCGTTTTCCCTCTGTCGACATAGTCCCAGTCCTAGCCCCAGAGCCAGCCACCCCAACTGTGGCGGCCTCAGCTCCAGTGAACTTGTGATGATGTCCCTTGAAATGGAGCTGGTTTGGAAGCTGTGGCTAGGGACAAGTGAGGTCAGGGGATGTGAGACTGCCGGGCCAGTGAGGCGCTCATCTGTTCAGCAGCACTGCAGACAATGGTAGGCTCAGCAGCTGAGAGGTGATCTTGACCAAGGAGGGCCTGGAGGGGAACCTGAAGCAAGTGTACATTTTCAGGGGGTGAGGGGCTGTGGCAGGACAGTAGTTACTGCAGAGAAGACAGAGCTGGGATCTTCTTTAAAGAATTAAAATTGCTGGGCGCAGTGGCTCACCCTGTAATCCAAGCACTTTGAGAGGCCGAGGCGGGTGGATCACCTGAGGTCAGGAGTTCGAGACCAGCCTGGCCAGCATAGTGAAACCCCATCTGTACTAAAAATGCAAAATTAGCCAGGTGTGGTGGCACATGCCTTTAATCCCAGCTACTCAGGAGGCTGAGGCAGGAGAATCACTTGAACCCAGGAGGTGGAGGTTGCAGTGAACCGAGATCATGCTACACTGCACTCCAGCCTGGGCAATAGAGCAAGACTCTGTCTCGGGAAAGAAAAAAAAATTAAAATCCCTCCTGCTCATGTGAAAATTCTATGTCTGTGATATCCCTTTCTATGTGTCATTCACCTCTTGCACTCCTGTGGCAGAAACTGTTAGCTATCCACCCCAATACCTTTGTCCACTCTAAGAACTCTCAAAGCAGTCAAGGTCAGTACAAGAAAAGAACACTAAAATCTCATTCATGGACATACATGGAAAATTCCTAAATGAAATGCAAGAATCATTTCCACTTACATCCCATTGGCTAGAACATGTCATCCCATGACCACATCTAGTTGCAAAGACAACTGGGAAATCTACTCTAGACAGCGTTGTGACCAAATAAAAACTGATTTACATTTTCAAGGAAGTCATTTCCCCCTCCCTCCCATCAGCAACAAGGTCAACATAAGCAAGATTCCTTAGTGCTCTCTTGTGAGCATTTATTTCTAGTTTACCTGTGCACAGAGAGCTTAGCCTTTGTAGACCCAGCTTTATGAGGAAATCTGTTAGATTTTGAGGCTGGGCGTGGTGGCTCACACCTGTAATCCCAGCACTTTGGGAGGCCAAGATGGGTGGATCACTTGAGGTCAGGAATTCGAGACCAGCCTGGCCAACATCGTGAAACCTCATGTCTACTAAAAATATAAAAATTAGCCAGGCATGGTGGCACACAACTGTAGTCCCAGCTGCTCAGGAGGCTGAGGCAGGGGAATCACTTGAAGCTGGGAGGCAGAGAGGTTGCAGTGAGCCGAGATCATGCCACTCCACTCCAGTCTGGGCGACAGAGTAAGACTCTGTCTCAAAAAAAAAAAAGACTTTGAGATGGCTTTGTCACCCACCCTTCTGCATTCAACTCAGCCATCAAAACTAAAATTCAAATTCACCAAGATTTGGAGATGCCCTGAGGGAAGGGTCCGGTTTCTTGCTTCCTCTGAATTCCTGCTTTTTCTTGCGGTTTTTTTTTTTTTGGCTAGCTCAGCAATACAGTTACAAAATTTTAAAAATATTCACTCCTCCTTGTGTAATTGTTTTACTGGAAAGCCTGTCCATGATATGTAGACACCATCTTGCTTAAGGAAAAGCTCGCCCTGATATTTTTAGAGGTGTGTTTAATACAACTTCAGAGGACAGCTAATCTTCATCTTACACAAAGTATTTCAGACAATAGAAAAGAAGGAAAGTTACACAAATCATTTTGCAAAACTTGTTTAATTCTGATACTCAAACCAGACAAGGTCATCGTGCACACACACACACACACACACACACACACAGACACTTAAAAATAGTTCTTATTTATAAACATAGATGGAATTATAACTGGATTTTTCAGTTAAATGAGCCAAAAAATTCTTTTGTTCTTAAAAAGCAAAAACAAAAGATATTGCCTATAAACATCATGTAAAAGCCTCAAATAAAATACAAACAAGTCCAATCCTAGAAGAAAAAAAAAACAAACATGATTCAAAAATAATTCCATGGCTGCGCATAATGGCTCAGGCCTGTAATCCCTACTTTGGGAGGCTGAGGTGGGCAGATCACCTGAGGTCAGGGGTTCAAGACCAGCCTGGCCAACATGGTGAAACCTAGTCTTTACTAAAAATACAAAAAAATAGCTGGGCATGGTGGTACATGCCTGTAATTCCAGCTACTTGCGAGGCTGAGGCAAGAGAATCACTTGAACCCAGGAAGCAGAGGTTGCAGTGAGCCAAGATCATGCCACTGCACTCCAGCCTAGGCAACACAGTGAGATTTGTCTCAAAATAATAATAATAATAATTCCATGATGGGTGTTTTGGGTTTTTTGTTTTTGTTATTTTGAGACAGGCTCTCCTTGTGTTGCCCAGACTGGAGTGCAGTGGCATGATCTCAGCTCACTGAAACCTCTGCCTCCTGGGTTCAAGCAATTCTCATGCCTCAGGCCCCCTAGTAGCTGGGATTATAGGTGCACGCCACCACGCCTAGCTACATTCTTTATTTTTCATAGAGACGGGGTCTTACCACATTAGTCAAGCTGATGCTGAACTCCTAGATTCAATCCTCCTGCCTTAGCCTTCCAAAGTACTGAGATTACAAGTGACAGCCACCATGCCCAGTTTTTTTTTTTAATAAATTTTATTGTGTATATTTGAGGTGTACAACATGATGTAATAGGATATATAGAGAGAGTAAAATGGTTACTATAATGAAGCAAATTAATATAACTGTTGTCTCACATAGTTACATTTCTGTGTGATAAGAACAGCTAAAATCTACTTATTTAACAAAAATGTGTAATATAACACAACTTCATTACCTAGAGTCCTCATGCTACATGTTAGATCTCTAGATTTGTTCATCCTACATATCGGCTACTATGTATCTTTTTCTTTAAATCTTCCATCTCCTCCCCACCCCACAATGACCATTTAACAACAGAAAATACCTCAATTGCTCACGCCTGTAATCCCAGCACTTTGGGAGGCCAAGGTGGGCAGATCACTTGAGGCCAGGAGTTGGAGACCAGCCTGGCCAACATGTTAAAACACAGTCTCTACTAAAAATACGATAATTAGCTGGGCATGGTGGCAGGCGCTTGTAAACCCAGACACTCAGGAGGACAAGGTGGGAGAATCTCTTGAACCTGGGAGGCAAAGGTTGCAGTGGGCCCAGATCACATCACTGTGCTTCAGCCTGGGCGACAGAGTGAGCCTCTGTCTCAAAAAGAAAGAGGCTGGGTACAGTGGCTCACGCCTGTAATCCCAGTACTTTGGGAGGCCGAGGCTGGTGGATCATCTGAGGTTTGGAGTTTAAGACCAGCCTGGCCAACATGGTAAAACCCCATCTCTACTAAAAATACAATAATTAGCTGGGCGTGGTTGCAGGCACCTGTAATCCCGGCTGCTTGGGAGGCTGAGGCAGGAGAATCACTTGAACCTGGGAAGCAGAAGTTGCAGTGAGCTGAGATCACAACACTGCACTCCAGCCTGAGAGACAAGAGCGAAACTCAGTCTCAAAAAAAAAAAAAAAAAAAAAAAGGAAAAGAAAAGGAAGGAAGGAGATATATCAACATAATTTAATTTACCAGATTAACAGATTTAAGGAGAAAGCCACATGGTCCTTTCAATAGATGCGGAAATTGGAGAACATATGTGTTAAAAGTCAATATTTATTCACAACAAACTAGAAATAGAAGGAAACTTCCTTAACCTGGTAAATGGACCCTACCTAAGATCTTCAACACTTGTTCAAATTCTGCATAATTAGAAGCTAGACATGGCTCTGACTTTATGTGAAAACAATACAAGGAAAGAGTCAGGCTGCTTGTCCAGGTCTAAGTAATATGCTCTGAGTTATTTCTCCGAAATGAACCACTTCCCCCCAGTCAGCTCCTCCCAGAAGAGTAGTTCACTTTTCTAGGTTTGTCACTGTTCCTTCAAAGTCTGGTCACTAACCCCTAACCACTGGACACATGTAGGCATAGCCCTCATGATCATCTAGTTCAATCTACTTATCTTACAGGTGACGTCTGTGAACCCCACAGTAAAAGGCCCAAAATAAAATACCAGCTCAGCTAATAGTACACCTGAGATTGGGATCTGGGCCTCCCGACACCTTGTCCCTCCTCCTTACACTTCTCTCTCATGGGCAAAATCAAATTCTACTCAATTTATTTAGCATTTCCGCTTTTTTTTTTTTTTTGAGATGGAGTCTCGCTCTTGTCACCCAGGCTGGAGTGCAATGGCACCATCTCAGCTCACTGCAACCTCCGCCTCCTGGGTTCAAGCACTTTTCTGCCTCAGCCTCCTGAGTAGCTGGAATTAGAGGCAGCTGCCACCATGCCCAGCTAATTTTTTTGTATGTTTACTAGAGACAGGGTTTCACCATCTTGGCCAGGCTGGTCTTGAACACCTGACCTCGTGATTCACCCACCTTGGCCTCCCAAAGTTCTGAGATTACAGGTGTGAGCCACCTTGCCTGGCTCTACTCAATTTCTTATGCAGCTTAACGATTTCCTTTAAGATTCTGGGCTTCTGTGGATACTCATGACCTCAGGGGCTTACCTTCTTTCCTTTTTTTTTTGTCGAGACAGAGTTTCGCTCTTGTTGCCCAAGCTGGAGTGCAATGATGTGATCTCCGCTCACTGCAACCTCTGCCTCCCAGGTTCAAGCAATTCTCCTGCCTCAGCCTCTCAAGTAGCTGGGATTATAGGTGCGCGCCACCACACCCAGCTGATTTTTTGTATTTTTAGTAGAAACGGGGTTTCTTCATGTTGGTCAGGTTGGTCTGGAACTCCTGACCTCAGGTGATCTGCTCACCTCGTGTTAGGATTACAGGCATGAGCCACCATGCCCAGCCCTTCTTTCCTTTTCCTTTTCTTTCTTTTTTTTTGAGATGATGTCTTGCTCTGTCACCCAGGCTGGAGTACAGTGGCTTGATCTCAGTTCACTGCAACCTCTGTCTTTCAGGTTCAAGTGATTCTCCTGCCTCAGCCTACCAACTAGCTGAGATTTCAGGCATGAGCCATTATACCCTTCTAATTTTTTGTATTTTTAGTAGAGACAGGGTTTCACCATGTTGGCCAGGATGGTCTCAAACTCTACCTCAAGTGATCTGCCCGCCTCGGCCTCCCAAAGTAATCTCATGCCTGCTGAGATTACAGGCATGAGACACCACACCCAGCTGTTTCCTTTTATTTTCTTTTTAAGACTGGGTGTTTCTCTGTCACCCAGGCTGGAGTGCAGTGGCATGATCATGGCTCACTGCAGCCTCAACATCCTTAGCTCAAGCAATCCTCCCACCTCAGCCTCCTCGGTAGCTGGGACTACAGGCACAGGCCACTATGCCCAGCTACTTTTTCATTTTTAGTAGCGATGAGGTCTCTCTATATTGTCCAGGCTGGTCTCAAACTCCTGGGCTCAAGCAATCCTCCCGAAGTGTTAGGATTACTAGTGTGAACCACCAAGCCTGGCCTACCTTCTGTCTTGAGTGGTAATACTGGAAGGGGATGAAGGAACAGGGAGGGCAGGTGAAATGAAATGAGCTAGAGATCCAGACTTTCCCAGAAGGAAGGGAATGCCTATCTATTTTTATTGATTGATTGATTGAGACGGAGTGTTGCTCTGTCATCAAGATGGAGTGCAGTGGCGTGATCTTAGCTTACTGCAGCCTCCGCCTCCTGAGTTCAAGTGATTCTCCTGCCTCAGCCTCCCTAGTAGCTGGGACTACAGGCACGCGCCACCATGCCCAGCTAATTTTTGTATTTTTAGTAAAGACAAAGTTTCACCATGTTGGCCAGGATGTTCTTGAGCTCTTGACCTCATGATTCGACCACCTTGGTCTCCCAAAGTCCTGGGATTACAAGCATGAGCCTCAGTGCCTTTTTAAAATTTATTTATTTATTTATTTATTTTGAGATGGAGTCTCACTCTGTTGCCCAGGCTGGAGTGCAATGGTGTGATCCCGGCTCACTACAACCTCCGCCTCCCAGATTCAGGGGATTTTCCTGCCTCAGCCTCCCGAGGAGCTGAACTACAGGCACATGCCACCACACCTGGCTAATTTTTGTATTTTTAGTAGAAACAGACAGGCTTTCCCCATGTTCGTTAGGCTGGTCTTGGACTCTTGACCTCAGGTGATCCACCAGCCCTGGCCTCCAAAAGTGCTAGGATTACAAGCATGAGCCACTGCGCCCAGCTGGGAATGCCTTTTTTTTTCTTTTTTTCTTTTTTTTTTGAGACAGAATCTCACTCTGTTGCCTAGGCTGGAGTACAATGGTGTGATCTCGGCTTACTCTAACCTTCGCCTACCAGTTCAAGCAATTCTCTTCCCTCAGCCTCCCGAGTAGCTGGGATTACAGGCACCCACCACGATGCCCAGCTAATTTTTTTTTGTATTTTTAGTAGAGACGGGGTTTCACTATGTTGTCCAGGTTGGTCTTGAACTCCTGACCTCCTGATCTGCCTGCCTTAGCCTCCCAAAGTGCTTGGATTACAGGTGTGAGCCACTGCACCCAGCCAGGAATGCTGATTTTTAGGATCAATTTAGGGTAGGGAGATAGGCCCAAGGGGGATTTGAGGAAGGGGGGGTCACATGGCAGGAGGTAGGAGGGACAGTCCACAGTGTATGATTGTGCACGTTGTGGATGGTATGACTTTCAGAGGCACCAGTCACATCATATTCATTGCAGATTTGCGTGTGTATTACAGTAATCTTGGGGGCAGATGACAGCAAAGCATCCTGAAAGAAACTTCTGGAAAGGTACCATCACTAGCCATACTGTTGAGAAGAGGGTCCATTTGCATCAGGGCAGGAATAAGATCTGGGGATGTGCCTGCCTTACCTGATTCTAGAATTCGGACCTGGGTACCACTACCAGATACTACACAGCAGGAATTCCTGTGGGGAGCAATGGATTCCAAGCTCTAGCTCCTTCTTCCCTTGGGCTCTTCTTTCCACCCTGGCTCTGCCAGGAATCAGCTTCAACTAGTCACCTACTGCCAGTTCCTGGGCCCAGGCTCTTATCCCTGGCACTTCTTTCCCTTCTCTGCGACATCATTGTCGCGGACTCTAATCTCCATGGTCTGATTTGTAATAAGTGCCTTGAGAAATTATAACTGACTTATTAGGAAGTAATTACTTTCACATTTTCTTCATGGAGAATGCTTCTGTCAATAAAAAGAAAAAAAAAAGATAAGAAGTGACTGGTAGGACGCTGTACAGAAAGTAAAAACCTCTTCAGGACAAAAAGAAATTCTGTGGCCAGGCACAGTGGCTCATGCCTGTAATCCTAGCACTTTGGGAGGCCGAGGGAATTGCTTGATCCCGGGAGTATGAGACCAATCTAGGCACATGGTGAAACCCCATCTTCTCTACAGAAAATTAGCTGGGTGTGGTGGTGTGTGCCTGTAGTCCCAGCTACTCAGGCTGAGGTGGGAGGCTCACCTGAGCCTGGGAAGGCTGAAGCTGCAGTGAGCCATGATCAAGCCACTGTACTCCAGCCTGGGTGACAGAGTGAGACCCTGTCTCAAAAAAAAAAAGTCTTAGAAAGTTGTCGGATTATCAGAGATCATAAAAGATACAAAGAAATCTTTTGTGAAATCCAAGATACAAATAAGAATCATACGAACCTCTCTGAGGGATTAAAGATGTAATCAAAGGGCTTGAAGGAACAAATCAAATGCCAGTGGTAAATCCCCTTGTTATTTTAGGCCACAGTGAAGAACAAGAATGAAAAGAAACGGGAAAAATTATTATTGAAAAACAAGAACTCAGTGGAAATATCACTATTTTTTACAAGGGCTTTTGCAAAACTTTCAGAAGTGAAACATACTTTAATGAAGTTAATTTAAGTAAAGAGACAAAGCCTGAATTCAAAAGGGTCAAAACAGGCCCAAGACCTTGGATTTAAAATACTTAAAGACTTCTGCTCTCATTTTTATTTTCTCCTTTCTGCAAACTTTGGGCTTAGTTTGTTTTTCTTTTTCTAGTTCCTTGAGATGTGAAGTTGGGTTGTTTATTTGAGATCTTTCTTTTTTCTTTTTCTTTTTTTTTGAGGTAGAGTCTTACTCTGCCACCCAGGTAGTGCAGTGGTGCAATCTCAGCTCACTACAACCTCTGCCTCCTGGGTTCAAGCGATTCTCCTGCCTCAGCCTTCTGAGCAGCTGGGACTACAGGCACCTGCCACCACACCTGGCTAATTTTTGTATTTTTAGTAGAGACGGGGTTTCACCCTCTTGACCAGGCTTCTCTCGAACTCCTAACCTTGTGATCCACCCACCTCGGCCTCTCAAAGTGCTGGGATTACAGGCATGAGCCACCAAGCTCAGCCCTCTTTTCTTAATGTAGGCATTGATTGCTATCCACTTTCCTCATATCCTTGTGTTCGCTGTGTCTCATGAGTTTTGCATGCTGCATTTCCGTTTTGTTTGTCTCCAGATACTTTTAGATTTCACTTTTGATTTCTTTTTCGATCCATTTGTTGTTCAGGAGTATGTCATTTAATTTCTACATATTTATTAATTTTTCCAATTTTTTTCAGTTATTAATTTCTAGTTTTATACCATTATGGTCAGAAAAAATACTTTAGGTTATTTTAATACTCTTAAATTTGTTAAGACTTGTTCTGTGGCCCAAAACATGATCTATCTGGGAGAATGTTCCATGTGTGCTTGAAAAGAATGTGTATTCCACTGTGTTGGATGGAATGCTATATATGTGAACAGATGTTAGGTTTATTTGGTCTACAGCATTATACAAGTCTTCTGTTTCCTTACGGATTTTTCTGTCTGGATAATTCCATTATTGAAAGTGGGGTACTGAAGTTCCTTATTATTGTATAGCTGTCTGTTTCTCCCTTGAGTTCTGTTAATATTTGCTTTCTATATTAAGGTGCTCCAATACTGGGTACATGTATATTTACAATTGTTATATCCTTGATTATTTGACCCTTTTAATATCATGTATTAACCTTCTTTGTTTCTCATGACAGACTAAATGAAAATCTATTTTTTTCTTTCTTTCTTTTTATTTTTAATTTTTATTTTTTTGAGACAGAGTCTCGTGCTATAGCCAGGCTGGAGTGCAGTGGTGCAATCTGAGCTCACTGCAACCTCTGCCTTCTGGGTTCAAGCAATTCTCCTGCCTCAGCCTCCCGAGTAGCTGGGACTGCAGGTGCTCACCACCATGCCCAGCTAATTTTTTTATTTTTAATAGAGATGGAGTTTCACCATATTGGCCAGGATGCTCTCGATCTCCTGACCTTGTGATCCGCCCACCTTGGCCTCCCAAAGTGTGGGATTACAGGCATGAGCCACCATGCCTGGCCTCTTTTTATTTTTTTTATGGAGGGAGGAGAGGGAGGAGAGAGAGGGAGTTGAAAGATTGTTTTGTCTGATGTAAGTATAGCCATCCTTGCTCTCCCCTGGTTGCTGGTTGCATGAAATATCTCTTTCCATCTCTTCACTTTCAGTCTGTGTGTCCCCTTAATGCTAAAATAAGTCTCTTGTAAGTAGCATATTGTTGGGCCTGGTTTTTGCTTTTTTTTTGAGACAGAGTATTCCTCTGTCACCCAGCCTGGAGTGCAATGGCACAATCTCAGCTCACTGCAACCTCTGCCTCCTGCATTCAAACAATTATCTACCTCAGTCTCCCAAGTAGCTGGGATTACAGGTGCTCACCACCACGCCCAGCTAATTTTTGTATTTTTAGTAGAGATGGGGTTTCACCATCTTGGCCAGGCTGGTCTTGAACTCCTGACTTTGGGATCCACCTGCCTTGGCCTCCCAAAGTGCTGGGATTACAGGTGTGAGCC